AAATGAATTTTTTGAACTTCCGGTTTCGCCGGAAATGATTTCAACTTTCGATTTTTAAATGGAACGCCCTATATATTTTTACAAATTTAGAATCCTGAGTCGGACAGCATCCTCAAAATTGACCTTTCGACGTTACGTCATCAGAAAATGCTAAATGATAAAGATCAATCTAGAGTGCTTTAAACTATTTCAGAAAAACGAATTTTGACAATTTTAGACTGCTGCGAATAGCTGAATAACAACTTTTTAAGGCAAGTTCCATTTTTTAGGCATTGTGTAAATCCGTTAGAAGAAAATAAGATAGTTCAAAGCACTCTGGATTGATCTTTATGATGACGAAACGTCAAAAGGTCAATTTGCTCTCTGGCTCAGAATTTCCTCAGGATTCCAAATATGTTGCGGGGGTTGTAGTGAGGTATTTTGCGTGTGAATTTAAACACTTGTGTTGATCGTAGTACGTTATTTATTTACAATGAAAAAATAGTGGTTTAACTTACAACAGCGTTTAAGTTGGATGTCGAGGCTCGATAGTTTGGAACTTGACTGAATGATGTCGACCGGATGGTGGCACTGTTCTCTGAATTGAAATGACTGAGTTACTGAGTGATAGATAGGACTAGGTTTTATATTTTAGATACAGGTAGTTCGGCCTTTACGTGCTCTTGTACGTCGACCTGAAATTTGGAGCTAATGCAAGGGCTTTCCAAATTGCTAGGATTTTGGTTATTAATTATGCTAGCAATTCTTTGAAGGATAAGGAAATGTTTATGGTATTGTGAAGTTTGGTTGTGGGATTATTTTATTGTCGGTAGGATTAAATGTGAGCCTCGACAAACCGTACATTTTGTCACGTAATTGTAATTAAAATAATTTAAACTTTTGCCTGTTTTTACAGTGTTTGTTTGCCTGAGTGTGGAGGTAATGCCGCTACAATGTAAAAATATATAGGACATTCAATTTAAAAATCAAAAGTTGGTATCATTTCCGGCGAATCCGGAAGTTCAAAAAATTCATTTTGTATTAGAATATAAAATGCCACTTATAAGAGTATACTCTTATAAGTGGCATTTTATATTCTAATTAACCATGCAAAATTTTATGTGTCTATCTTTATAAATAAAAAAGTTACAGGGGTGCGCCTATTCTCAGATACACCCGGTATAGTAAGGTATTACTATATAGTAAGGTATTACTATATAGTAATCTTAATGGCGCAGTCGCAAGGATATGCAACCAAAAACGTTAAAAATACTAACAATCCATATATTTTTTAGTAATCGGTTCAGCAAAAGAGCCTGTCGCCGGATGGATAGACAATTTCTATGGTGCCACAGGGGTCTTTTACGGGGCCGCTCTAGGACTTATAAGAACATTGCACGGTAAAAAAGAAAACTGTGCTGAATTGGTACCGGCAGATTACGTGGTAAACAGCGTCTTAGCAGCGGCATGGGACGTGGCAACAATGAAGTAAGTCGATTTTTATCTAAAGCAATGTGTTAAAACATTTTTTTCAGGACTTTAAACGACAACAAGGAAACTCAGGATAAAAATGACGTAGATGAAAAATTCCAGGAAGAAATCCCTATATATAATTTCGTGTGCACACCGGAAAGACCTATAACCTGGGGTAAATCAAATATTACTTATAAAACAGAAAAAGTTCACAACTGAAATATTTGTTTTTTATAGAAAAATTCGAAGAACTAAATTACAAACACGCCATACAAATACCTTCGGAAGTTTGCATTTGGAATTATTTCTTCAAAATGAGGCCAAGTTTATTTTGGCATACATTGGCCCTATTTTTCTTACACACATTACCGGCCCATATCGTGGACTTTATCGCTATTTGTATTGGGAAAAAGCCACAGTAAGTATTTTAATAAATATTCAATATACTTAAGAACAGTAGCGGCTCGTGACATGTTAAAGAGGCCGTGTGCCGATCGTAGACCTACGTATTATACCTGTATTAACGATAAAAGATAAACTAATAAAATAAATAAAAAATTTAGGTAGGTACTTCTTGAAAATTCTTTTAAAATTGGAGTAGGAGGGGGGATTTTTTTATGGATAAACTATGTTGATTTTCGTTTTTTACGCCTTAAAAACTATAAGTTTCTATATTTTCATCCAAATCGGAGACCAAAAGTTTCACTCGAAAAACGCGATATTTTGTTACTATAGGTAAATTTCATTTCAAAGTTTTTTCATGGCTAACTTGATAAAATAAATTTTTGTAAATATTAATTATTGTGCATTTTTAATTTGGCTACAAAATCGTTACTAATTAAAATGTTCTAAAAATATTTAGTTTAAGGTCGTTTTGAGGGGTGGTGAATCCAGTGCCGTGCATAGATTTTTTTTAAAGTTTATATTGCGTGTTTTAGTTTTCAAAACTAAGCATAGGAATTTATACCATGTTACCATAAAATTTTTCAATAAAATTTAATATAGGGTCGTTTTGAAGGGTGGTGAATCCAGTGCCGTGCATGGATTTTTTAAAAGTATAGGTTGCGTTTTTTAGTTTTCAAAACTAAGCATAAGAATATTTATAGCATGTTACTATACAATTTTTCAATAAAATTTAGTATAGGGTCGTTTTGAGGGGTGGTAAATCCAGTGAAGTGCATAGATTTTTTTTAAGTTTATATTGCGTTTTTTATTTTTCAAAACTAAGCATAAGAATATTTATACCATGTTACTATACAATTTTTTAATAGAATTTAGTATAGGGTCGTTTTGAGGGGTGGTGAATCCAGTGCCGTGCATAGATTTTTTAAAAGTTTATATTGCGTTTTTAGTTTTCAAAACTAAGCATAAGAATATTTATACCATGTTACTATACAATTTTTTAATAAATTTTATTATAGGGTCGTTTTGAGGGGTGGTGAATCCAGTGCCGTGCATAGATTTTTTAAATCGCTAATATGAATTCTTAAAAATTGAGTCTCAAAAACTGACATAGTAGGACATGTATTTTCTAAAAATATGTTTGTTTTGCTCCAAAAATACAGTTTATCAAGATCTACACTTTAAAATAATTGCGGTTAAAATCGCACAATAAATAAAGATTTTACAGGGGTGAGTCGCAAAAAAATGGGTCACACTGTATATACGTAAACACGGTCTATTCTCATTTGCACCTCGTTCTATTACACTGGTCGACAAAATGTTCTGTTTGCCACGCTGATTCAAAAAATAACCATAATTTTGCTCAATTATCCTTTGTTTTTGAGATATTTTCAAAAAACCGGTTTTTTTTTCGAAATGAAAACATTCAAATTCCTATAATATAAATATATATTATATATTTTTAATTAATTAACATAGTTTTGCAATAATAAACGATAATGACTGATGGCAATTTCTACACGACGGTGTATTCGTAGTTGCCGCCTCGCAGGCGAATTAATAGACGGTTTTCAGCATTGGATTCCTTTTTTGCTGGATATGCATTACATTTTTTAGACATTTACAACTACTTTTACATCTAATTTTTTTCTAGGTTGGTAAAAGGGTATCAAAAAATCAACAAATTTTCAAACGTTATCTCATACTTCACGATGAGAGAGTGGAATTTCAAGAACAACAACATACAAAATCTTTGGAAGAAAATGAATACAAGCGATCGAAAGCTGTTCGAATTCAGCATGAAAGATTTATCATGGGATGCCTATTTTTACACATATGTCAGAGGTGCAAGAGTATATTTATTAAAAGATCCATTGGATACAGTATCAAAGGGACAAATTAAATATTACAAACTTAAAGTTGCTCATTATGCTCTATGTACTGTGTTATTCTATTTATTCTATAAACTAACAATGTTCATAGTGAATTTTATTTTCTAAATAATGTTTAACCTATGAAAACTGCTCTACCTTTATTATAAATGCCATGATATTAAATATTTTATGGGTAGTTCATAGGTTTTATATTAATTTATTGTAAATATGTTAGTTTTATTTATATTTTTGCAAATAAAGACATCTATGGGACATGACGTTTTATATAAACACATCTGTTGATTTTGTAATGTAATGTTATTTTTTATTAAGTTAGCCCTTATAACATTGTTAACAAAATATAATTTTTTTATAATAAATTCACATTTTCCACTTTATAAGAAAAAATATTTTCCAAAATACAAAATCAGACAAGCATACCTATTTAAATTTATGAAACGCTTAAAAATTGAAATTTTAAAGGAATTGATTTTTGTTTACAAAATTGTTACGTAGGTAACGCCTATTTCCGTAGTGACATTAGTTAATTAAAAAAAGAGTATAAATATATATAATTTGGGTATTTTTGAAGACGCAGAAAATTATAATAATACCTAACTAGTGGGTCTTCAAAAATTACCATGTCGACTAAAATTATATCCGAACTTTGTTTAAAAAAACGTCACAAATATATTTGAAACTACTATATTGCACTCACCTCAGCAATTTTTCCTATTTTCAATGGAATTTTTATTTCCACATTTTTTCAGTTTTCCATTGCACAATAAAGATACAATCTTTGAGTAAGAAATTGTCTAGGATATAATTGAATATGCTTCCGTGTAGTTATGTTAAAAACACTTTCAAACAAGTTTTTTATCTTTATGTTTGTAAACAAAACATTTCACTTTTCAAATAACTGTCAAGACTGCCATGATAGTGAAGAGTAACCAACCCTGAAACAAAAAAATCAAACTTTCATACCAACATAAAGTAGGTAATTTTACATAATTTTACCAATATTTCGTATTTCAACAAAATAAACAAAAAAATATTTACAAAAACCATGTTTCTCTATGATCTTAACTACATCATAAATACGATTTAGTGATTTTAAACCATTCTCAAGCAAAACTGTTCCAATAGCTTGACATTATAGGCGGTAGATGTCGCGTCGATCGAAAGCATCTGTCAAATGCTGTTGACGTTGGAAGTAATATTATTCTTGAATTATTAAACTAATAGATGGTTTTTGGTGTAAAATCGTGCTAAATGTCGGGTTATAAGCGTGTTAATTTCTACGAACTATGTAGGTTATGCGCTAGCAACAACCAGAAAGACAAAACGCATATTTTTGACAACGAGGGAAAGAAAATACAGCTACAAAATAAGATTGAAACTTGTTTATCGCTTACAGTAAGTTAACTATCTGATAATTAAGCATAATTTTACTTGGCATGCATTTTAGGTGTTTGAAGACGATTGTTTACCCAAAGTGGTGTGTTCGAAATGCCTGGAAAATTTGGAAAATTGCTTTACATTTCAGCAAGAATGTGTGGGATCAGAGACTATGTTGTCGACCTATTTCAGAAATTTTCGGTGGACTGAGGACTTTAAAAAGTCCGGGAAGGTATTTATTACATTACCTTTTGTTACTTGTCAAAGAATTATGGCCAAGTTGGCAAATAACCAGTCTTATTGCAGAAGTGATCTTCACTTACATCATTTTAGTGATGTTTACATTTGCTATAACTTATACATGTATATGTTTTTTGATACAATTGGTATTTACAAAACCATTAAAAAAAGTCATAGATTAATAACCTCTCAGCAGCTTGCTACTTTTGTTTTTGACAAAATTAGCAAAGCAGATAAAAAACATTTGAAATTTTAAAAAATAAGGGGAAAATAAGAAAACAAAACATAAAATTATTTCCTGTTTATTATTTTCCTGCCTCTGAAAATATCATCCATTTGGTTTGAAAAAGATAAGCTTTAATTACAAAACTTTTTCTTCTTTCAATTTGCAAGTTACTTATCATTAATAGTACTGGACAATATATACATTATAATTATTATTGAGCCACTACAAGATAGGGATGTAAAATGATGGTCATTTATTTATGTAACACTTGACATGTCATTTATACCTATATCATTTATTGTCATTTATGGTAATTTTCATTTCCTTATCTTTAATGTAGATATATATCTATCTATATAGAAGCATCATACAAGTGACAACCCACTGAGCAAAAAAACGTAAAATATATGTAAAATTGACGTCAAAGGTTGTAGTGTGACGTATAAGAATCTTGTAAAATAAACGTCACATAAACGTCGCTGTGATGTGCCTATGTCCGGATCCTGGGCCGTGAATTAGCCCTAACCTTTACGTGGATAAGGAGACGTAAAAATTACGTTATTAAAAGGACGTAAAAATGCCATTTTATTATGGACGTATAGGTTTTGTTTCCACTTGTACTTATTAGTTACGTTTTTTTTAAATAAAACTACCACTTTGGAAATATTTTTTTTTATTAAAATAAATTATAAATATAAAACATAATTAGTCTGGTAAAAATAATAAAAATAAAACATACCGCCTAATTAATTTTCGGCCTCATTCTCATGTCCAAATTTGGCCAAAAAACGTTATGAGCGTTGCTTGGCGGTTTGGAACAACTCCTTGCTCTCTTTATCGAAATCACTTTCAGTCAGACGAAATAATTTCATACTGGCTTCTAAAACAAACATTAATAACTTAAGTTATCTAATTAATTAAGTATATAAAACTTATATAACTTGCCTGTCGCTCGGCGCAAAATTTGTCTCCCATGTTCACTGGTGTATTAACTGAAAAATCAAATTGATTAAAAGACTTTTCTTTAAGTCTAACAGCATTAATTAATATTACTTCTCACTCAACGCTAACATTTAAATCAACAAAATTCGATAACCACTAATAGCGCCATCATGGCGATATTGGGACAATTAATTAATTATATTATAACTGTATGGTTGCAAACAAATGATAAAGCCAACTTACCTAAAGCGTTCAGTCTCGCCTATGGAGAACAATGCGTTTTCTATCACACAGCAACAAATAGCAACACACTGTGTTGAACACAGAACAATGGCAGGCGCAACGCAAACAGAGTATGCCTGTTACAGGGCCCCTTTTATACCGATATATCGACTGGAAACGAAATTACCCGAGTCCTTTTTTACGTAAATTTTACATAAAATATACGTTTCTTAATCTCACTATGCAATAATAGAATAATTATTATTTTATAAGCGGTAATATTAATTAATAAATCACTCTGGGTCATTAAAATAATAATTGTACCTACTTGGTTTGGTTTAATCTAAAATTATGAATTAAATTTGGTATTTAATTATCCAAGTTTACACTCAAATTTACAACAAAAATGTAAATGTGGCATATATTTTAATGTTTATCATTGGCAAACCTATCCCATTCATATTTATCATGTGTCACATTGGTGACGTAAAATGTACGTTGTGTTTTGCACCTAATACGCTAAAGTAAAATAAAAGGCATAGACTGGACGGTATAGTGACGTGCTCGACAGCACCTTTTATTTTTTAACGTAATTTTTACGTAAATTGAACATCACTAAAAAACGTAGTTAATGTGCCTTAAAATTGACAATTTTTAAACGTCACTGTGACATCACCACATCCAAAATGTTCAGTGGGAAGTGACTAAAACATTAATAGACATAAACTTAAACATAAATTTAATTGAAAAAAATAACAAAATGTAAACAAAATTTAAAAAATATAAAAATCTCTTTATAAATCTCTTTTAACAAAACAAAACCATATCCTAGTAGAATATAAAGATATCTAACTGGTTTTTAACCAGTTATAACTAAATTTTTTTTTATCTTTCTCTAAGTGTTTACAAGTTAAATCAAGTTAAAATACATCACTTTTACGCTTTTTTTGCATTTGGAGAAAGACCTGCTTGGGGCGCGCATCGATCTAACGTTTTTTTGTGTCCGTCATATATTTTTGTGACTGTCATATATTTTAAGGACGGTCAGTTATTTTTTTGACAGTCAGAAATTTAAATTGAAAAAAATTAATGACAAGGGTGTCATACAAATAAATGACATGACCTTCATTTTCATTATGACCGTGACATGAAATGGTCATAAAAATTTGCTTACATCTTTCCTACAGGTATTAATGTCCAGTGGCTTTAACAAAATACCCATTCACCATTGGAGTCCAATGATTGGACAACATTCACGTGTGTTCACATAACATTTTAATTTCTTTAATATACCTAAATTCTTTTCATATCGAAGATTATTATCCGCTAGGAATACCTTGTCTCTCCTAGGCCGTAGTCACCTATATTTAACTACTTTTTTATATGATTTTACTCATCTACGCACCACCAAAACTAAAGGTGAATTCATGCAAGCATGTCTTAAATTAACTTAACTTAACTTTGTACCAATCTTGTACTAATCTTTATCCCATGGAAATGAACCGTTCATACATGTACTATTATCTTAAAGATTTTACATGCGCATTACATATAAAAATATAAAACAAACCCACAAAATACTAAATTTTAAAAAATGTAAATACAATGAAAGTAACTACATTAGACTATAAAGTTGGCTACATTACCAGTACATGCGCATTTGCCTATTTTTATTAAGAACTTAGGACATAAGGATCTTAAAGATAAAAGTAAACCAACTTTTCTTAGGATAAGGATTCAAATTAAGTTAGGTTAAGACGAATTTAAATTGCATGAACGGTTCCGCTCATTATTACAGTTTTATCTCTTTAAGATAAGGACAAAGTTAGTATTAAGACATGCTTGCATGAATCCACGGTAAGTTAATTAATTAATTAATTAATTTTGCCAACCGTTCCATTTAACTTACAATAATTTAAACATAACCACAATTACATTATAATTACCGCTGTGACTAGAGGCACGCTAACGTGCCGCGATTCGAAATATTAAAGGCACGTTAGGTACGTCATGTTTTTAAGATTTTATGTTACTAGAAAACCAAAACCAACCAACCAACCCAACACTTTTTAACAAACAAACAAATTTATAAATATAAAAAAAAAATAAAAAAAGTTCGACAACTTCTAGTAGATTTTATGTTACGATAAAACTAAAACAAACCAACCAACCCAACACTTTTTAACAAAGAAACAAGAAATTTATGAAATAAAAAATAACTTAGACTTCTGAGTATCGAACCCGGTACCTCTCGCATGCTATGCGAACGCCCTACCATATGAGCTATCTAGCTTGACATCAATTTTAAAACGCTCGGGGAACAAAAACGGATTATTATTATTATGACGTAACCATAGACAAGGGATTGGTTGGGTGGACGTACTACATGGACGTAACTAACGTGCCTTTAACATTTTGAATCGAGGCACGTTAGCTAAATTTGCAACGTTGCCGCAGTCCAGATAAAAAAAGAACTTTGGATTTTTCGCGTAATTCAATTTTTTTAACTAAAGAAAAAAGGTAATGCCAAAAAATTACACTGTATTTTTTTAAGGTGTACATCAAGGACACAAAACCACCCCCACAATCTGAAGTAACGACCACTTCGACAAATGTCCAGCAAGTGCAAAAACAGCAAAATTTTCAGGAGCAAATTCAAGAAAAAAACCCAGTGGAGGCGTCGGTGCCGTTTTACACCCTACAACTACCAACCATCGTAACAAACCCAAATGTAACATCAAAAAACCCCAAAGTCGAAATATTGGAATCCAAAATCATACAAAACCCCAATCAAAATCAAAATTTCAGTTCCCTTAATTTAAACGCCATAAATAAGAGTAATAGGAATGAAGTTTTGAGTAATGTTGTTGTCAATTCAAACGGTGAAGTTTTGAATATTGCCCAGTTGTATCCAGATTTTGAGGTTATAAATCCTAACAGTATAAGGAATAAAAAAAATCGACGAAAGGAATCACCGATTGTAACAAAAGATCCATTAAGTTTGGAGGACAACATCATTAAAATCGACTTAACAGAAGAAACATACGAAAAACAACAGCTAATGAATAAAAATAAAAGTTTTATTTACAACGAGAAAATCGAGGAAAAACACAACCAAAACCACACCGTGATTTATAATAACGTAACAGAAAACGGCAACTACAACTCCTACACATCAAGCAACAATATGTACAGTCAACAAAACAACTTAAACATCGTTAACACAACATCAACAAACAACATCATAACAAACTCGAATGTAATACAAGAGACCTCGACGATAAATCTAAACATCCTCAACCAAAACATGTCGGATATATCGGGACACAATAATCAGTACAGTAGATCGAATAATCTACCCAACATAATACAGCACGTTACAATAGCGGCGCCAAAGGTGGAGATGGTCGAGGCTGACGCCCCAGCGGTGACAATCGACACTACTACCACAAGCAACATGGAAAAATCCCACACTTGCGACATATGCAAGAAATCTTTCAAGCGTCGCGAGCATTTATATCAGCATGTTAAGTTGCACACCGGGTTCAGGCCGTACAGGTGCGAGATGTGCAATAAAGCGTTCATGAGGAAAGAGCACTTGCTTCGTCATATGACGTTGCACTCGGGCCAAAAAAATTACCAATGCAACATATGCGACAAGAGTTTTTCCAGGCGCGATAATCTGTTGAAACACAAAAAAACGCACGACAAACAGTCGAATTTTACGTGCGAGATTTGCCAGAAACAATTCGTTATGAAACATTATTATATATCGCATAAGTTAACCCACGGGGAGAAATTTGAAGCCCCATCGTGGGACATGATAAAAACTAACTAAATATAGTATTATTTATTTATTTATGTTGGTGTGTTGCCATTTTTCGACTGTCGACACCACTTTTTACATCTGTAGATAGACTATAGAGCTTTAAATATCACTAAATTCGAGAAAATTCGTCTATTTTAAAAATAGGTGTTTTTAATGTAGTACAAACATTATTTCCTTATAAGTCTGATTTAATAATTTATTTGTAATTTAACCAAAATGTAAATGTTCTAGTCCTTTAATTATTTAACTAATAAATTATTAAATGTATCCTGTGTTTTACTCACGTTGACAAACTGTATCTATGGCGTTTTAGTCACGGCCTGAAGTTAGCTACAGGTTTTTGGTCACAGGCTGAAGTTAGTTTTATGTTCATTGATAGTTGTCATCTGTTATACATTCGTCAAAATGACGCACCAACGGTATATTAACGGGTTATTTTAAGTACACACAAAATTTCAATTATTTTTTCTGACAAATAGTTTAAGAATGATAAGGGTTTAAAATTTTTATTTTATTTTTGTTAGAATATTTATATAAAAGGATTAAACACAATTTTCTAATAACAGAAAACGGCAATTACAACTCCTACACATCAATGTACAGTCAACAAAACAACTTAAACATCGTAAACACAACATCAACAAACAACATCATAACAAACTCGAACGTAATACAAGAGACCTCGACGATAAATTTAAACATCCTCAACCAAAACATGTCGGATATATCGGGACATAATAATCAGTACAGTAGATCGAATAATCTACCGAACATAATACAGCACGTTACAATAGCGGCGCCAAAGGTGGAGATGGTCGAGGCCGACGCCCCAGCGGTGACAATCGACACTACTACCACAAACAACATGGAAAAATCGCACACGTGCGACATATGCAAGAAATCTTTCAAGCGTCGCGAGCATTTGTATCAGCATGTTAAGTTGCACACCGGTTTCAGGCCGTACAGGTGCGAGATGTGCAATAAAGCGTTCATGAGGAAAGAGCACTTGCTTCGTCATATGACGTTGCACTCGGGCCAAAAAAATTACCAATGTAACATATGCGACAAGAGTTTTTCCAGGCGCGATAATCTGTTGAAACACAAAAAAACGCACGACAAACAATCGAATTTTACGTGCGAGATTTGCCAGAAACAATTCGTTATGAAACATTATTATATATCGCATAAGTTAACCCACGGGGAGAAATTTGAAGCCCCATCTTGGGACATGATAAAAACTAACTAAATATAGTATTATTTATTTATTTATGTTGGTGTGTTGCCATTTTTCGACTGTCGACACCACTTTTTACATCTGTAGATAGACTATAGAGCTTTAAATACCACTAAATTCGAGAAAATTCGTCTATTTTAAAAATAGGTGTTTTTTAATGTAGTACAAACATTATTTCCTTATAAGTCTGATTTAATAATTTATTTGTAATTTAACCAAAATGTAAATGTTCTAGTCCTTTAATTATTTAACTAATAAATTATTAAATGTATCCTGTGTTTTACTCACGTTGACAAACTGTATCTATGGCGTTTTAGACACGGGATGAAGTTAGCTACAGGTTTTTGGTCACAGGCTGAAGTTAGTTTTATGTTCATTGACAGTTGTCATCTGTTATACATTCGTCAAAATGACGCACCAACGGTATATTAACGGGTTATTTTAAGTACACACAAAATTTTAATTATTTTTTATGACAAATAGTTTTAGAATGATAAGGGTTTAAAATTTTTATTTTATTTTCTTTATTTTATTTTTGTTAGAATATTTATATAAAAGGATTAAACACAATTTTCTAATAACAGAAAACGGCAATTACAACTCCTACACATCAAGCAACAATATGTACAGTCAACAAAACAACTTAAACATCGTAAACACAACATCAACAAACAACATCATAACAAACTCGAACGTAATACAAGAGACCTCGACGATAAATCTAAACATCCTCAACCAAAACATGTCGGATATATCGGGACACAATAATCAGTACAGTAGATCGAATAATCTACCCAACATAATACAGCATGTTACAATAGCGGCGCCAAAGGTGGAGATGGTCGAGGCGGACGCCCCAGCGGTGACAATCGACACTACTACCACAAACAACATGGAAAAATCGCACACGTGCGACATATGCAAGAAATCTTTCAAGCGTCGCGAGCATTTATATCAGCATGTTAAGTTGCACACCGGGTTTAGGCCGTACAGGTGCGAGATGTGCAATAAAGCGTTCATGAGGAAAGAGCACTTGCTTCGTCATATGACGTTACACTCGGGCCAAAAAAATTACCAATGTAACATATGCGACAAGAGTTTTTCCAGGCGCGATAATCTGTTGAAACACAAAAAAACGCACGATAAACAGTCGAATTTTACGTGCGAGATTTGCCAGAAACAATTCGTTATGAAACATTATTATATATCGCATAAGTTAACCCACGGGGAGAAATTTGAAGCCCCATCATGGGACATGATAAAAACTAACTAAATATAGTATTATTTATTTATTTATGTTGGTGTGTTGCCATTTTTCGACTGTCGACACCACTTTTTACATCTGTAGATAGACTATAGAGCTTTAAATACCACTAAATTCGAGAAAATTCGTCTATTTTAAAAATAGGTGTTTTTTAATGTAGTACAAACATTATTTCCTTATAAGTCTGATTTAATAATTTATTTGTAATTTAACCAAAATGTAAATGTTCTAGTCCTTTAACTATTTAACTAATAAATTATTAAATGTATCCTGTGTTTTACTCACGTTGACAAACTGTATCTATGGCGTTTTAGACACGGGATGAAGTTAGCTACAGGTTTTTGGTCACAGGCTGAAGTTAGTTTTATGTTCATTGACAGTTGTCATCTGTTATACATTCGTCAAAATGACGCACCAACGGTATATTAACGGGTTATTTTAAGTACACACAAAATTTCAATTATTTTTTCTGACAAATAGTTTTAGAATGATAAGGGTTTAAAATTTTTATTTTATTTTCTTTATTTTATTTTTGTTAGAATATTTATATAAAAGGATTAAACACAATTTTCTAATAACAGAAAACGGCAATTACAACTCCTACACATCAAGCAACAATATGTACAGTCAACAAAACAACATAGTAATCACAGTCAACAAAACAACATAGTAATCACAGTCAACAAAACAACATAGTAATCACAGTCAACAAAACAACATAGTAATCACAACATCACAACATCAACAAACAACATCATAACAAACTCGAACGTAATACAAGAGACCTCGACGATAAACTTAAACATCCTCAACCAAAACATGTCGGATATATCGGGACACAATAATCAGTACAGTAGATCGAATAATCTACCCAACATAATACAGCACGTTACAATAGCGGCGCCAAAGGTGGAGATGGTCGAGGCTGACGCCCCAGCGGTGACAATCGACACTACTACCACAAACAACATGGAAAAATCGCACACGTGCGACATATGCAAGAAATCTTTCAAGCGTCGCGAGCACTTATATCAGCATGTTAAGTTGCACACCGGGTTCAGGCCGTACAGGTGCGAGATGTGCAATAAAGCGTTCATGAGGAAAGAGCACTTGCTTCGTCATATGACGTTGCACTCGGGCCAAAAAAATTACCAATGCAACATATGCGACAAGAGTTTTTCCAGGCGCGATAATCTGTTGAAACACAAAAAAACGCACGACAAACAATCGAATTTTACGTGCGAGATTTGCCAGAAACAATTCGTTATGAAACATTATTATATATCGCATAAGTTAACCCACGGGGAGAAATTTGAAGCCCCATCGTGGGACATGATAAAAACTAACTAAATATAGTATTATTTATTTATTTACGTTGGTGTGTTGCCATTTTTCGACTGTCGACACCACTTTTTACATCTGTAGATAGACTATAGAGCTTTAAATATCACTAAATTCGAGAAAATTCGTCTATTTTAAAAATAGGTGTTTTTTAATGTAGTACAAACATTATTTCCTTATAAGTCTGATTTAATAATTTATTTGTAATTTAACCAAAATGTAAATGTTCTAGTCCTTTAATTATTTAACTAATAAATTATTAAATGTATCCTGTGTTTTACTCACGTTGACAAACTGTATCTATGGCGTTTTAGTCACGGGCTGAAGTTAGCTACAGGTTTTTGGTCACAGGCTGAAGTTAGCTTTATGTTCATTGACAGTTGTCATCTGTTATACATTCGTTAAAATGACGCACCAAGTTGGTGCCACCAACGGTATATTAACGGGTTATTTTAAGTACACACAAAATTTTAATTATTTTTTATGACAAATAGTTTTAGAATGATAAGGGTTTAAAATTTTTATTTTATTTTCTTTATTTTATTTTTGTTAGAATATTTATATAAAAGGATTAAACACAATTTTCTAATAACAGAAAACGGCAATTACAACTCCTACACATCAAGCAACAATATGTACAGTCAACAAAACAACTTAAACATCGTAAACACAACATCAACAAACAACATCATAACAAACTCGAATGTAATACAAGAGACCTCGACGATAAATTTAAACATCCTCAACCAAAACATGTCGGATATATCGGGACATAATAATCAGTACAGTAGATCGAATAATCTACCCAACATAATACAGCACGTTACAATAGCGGCGCCAAAGGTGGAGATGGTCGAGGCTGACGCCCCAGCGGTGACAATCGACACTACTACCACAAACAACATGGAAAAATCGCACACGTGCGACATATGCAAGAAATCTTTCAAGCGTCGCGAGCATTTATATCAGCATGT